ATTTTGTGTTTTCCGATAGTTGTAATTTAGAATACTATAATGGAATATTTTTCCGTTTATATTCTGACAGAATAAAGCTTATATCAAAGTGATTTTTACTAGTTTTTAGTATAGAATCAGATTACCCCAGAACAGTCTGGAAAATCTACATAAAAATAAATATCAAAGTAAAAAGTTAATATTATTGATTCATCGACAAGCAAACCTTTTGGAAACATGCAGTGTATATGATTATATTTTTTTGTTCTGTTCTTGAATAAAGAAATAATAAAATGACTCATAATCCACACAGTCATTATGAATATGAAGTAGGAGTGAATAGAGTTACATTCATAAAACAAGTTACACCCAAGATGAAAGTAAGAGAGGGTAAGCAAATTTTATTCTATAGATCCAGTTTAGAATATATTCAAGCTCAAACTAACATGGATCGTAACAGCGCCCATAATGTCCAACAAGATATGTGGACTACATATGAAAATCCGTATAACTACGGATACTATCCAGACCTCAACGATGATAATTTTTTCGATTCATTTACTGAACTAGGAACACCAAAACCAATGGATATTACCGACAAAACTGTATACAAATGTCCACCGAAACCCAATATAAAAGCTAATCGAGTTCTGACTAAAACTTACTATAACCATGAATTCGACATCGCCAATTGTCTTCAACCGTATCAAGTACACACATTCTACCTGGATGGTGTTGACTATTTTTTTGCCAGTCCTTATAAAGGTTTGCCAACGAAAATAATTGATCTGGCATTTCACCCTTTGGTTCATACTTTTTCTGATCGCATTAAAGAAGATGGATTATCTCGGTATCGAGATTCCTGTTCCATCCAAGAAATATTATGCGTCCGCGTCAATAAACAGCGCTCACGTATCCAAAAACGGCGTCAACAATCCATATATCTGTTAACTCAAACTCAATCGAATCGATACAAAATACTATTTTCAAAAACGACCGAAGGAGCTGCATTGCGTTCGACAATACGCGCGGTCCATCGTAACTTATACTGGTCGGGATTGGGTGGTTTAAAGCGTAAAACGTGCTATATAACAACGGGAGAGGAATTCATCCAGCTGATGAAAAAGGATGGTGGAGCAATTTCAAGTGACGACCATTGTAGATGGAAACAGAACCATCGAAGAACAGAAGACAAATGGAAAGAAATAGCGTTTCATTCCAGTGGCGAATTTACGTATACACTTCTGGCAGATGGTGTGTTTCACATATCTCGAGCGGATACAACTCTACGTGATGTAGCATCGAAGCATCTTCTTCATGCCGAATGTGAGCCGGTAGTGGTGTATGCCGGAATGTGCAGGTTTGAAATGCGTGATGGTGAAAATCACATCACGTTCGTGGTAGACAATGACTCCGGCACATATGCACCGACAGACGAAAGAAATGAACTGGCTCGATTGAAAAGTTTGTTGGAATGGAATTTTGAAGGATTACATGTGGATACCAAAAAATTTGTGCCACCTGCTAAAGAGACTGCAAGGAACGCATTAGAAGAAATGTACGCTTTGGCGTTCAGATATCCAATCACGGCACACGAAAATAAGTTAGATTATTAGAACAATGAGAAGATGTCAGATGTACTTTAGATTTTATATTTAAAACATAAATAGACCGATACGAACATTATTGATTCATTCATTCGTATTATATGCGTTTTCTTTGTAGAAATATTTTTGTATTTGAATATATTATTCGCTAATGAAAATATTTTTTCCACGATGTAATGAAAAAAAGAAGCGCGAAAGTTTTAGTGTTAGACGAAACTTTTTTATTTATATTGACTACTGATCTATCTTACATTTTACGATAACGAAGATATAAGTCTGAGAGAGTTAGGTAAGTTTAACATTAAATTCCTCCCGTCTTGTCGGAAATTAGGACTTCGATGATGTCAGTTTGTGGAGGAAACACTTCCGAAAAAAATTTGGCGCCACCCAATTTTTACCGATGGCTTAGTCAAAAGTTACAAAAAAAAAATTAAACTTTGCTTTAGTTTCCAGTAACAAGAAGGATCTGGAGGATTTCCAGCTTTTGATAATTGCCGAAAATCAGCAATCAGACTCTGAAAATCTCTATTCACATGTATTGACTTTATTTTGAAAGCATATCTGTCAGTATCAGAAATTCTTTGAAAATACCAACATTTCCATTTTGACCATTTTAGAGGGAGTTACATCTCACGAACGGATAGAGTCTGAGTCAAAAAAATATTTTATCGCCATGTTTTGATATGGTCTCTTTTCCTCGAAGTTTTGTGCAAAATCGGAATTATGGTTACTGGAACAGGATTCTATCAGGAGAGGGCTAAACTAATAAGAAATGTAGGAAGAGAAAAGAGATTGATTTCTATGACATAGAATTCAAAATTCGACTAAAATTGAGTGTACTTTGCTGAAAAAATCATAGATGTACTGATTATTTAATTTTTCTAGATCAAGTCTCCAAAGTTACGAAGGACATTCAATATAAACAGTTCAGAATAGTATCTTATTGTATCTGCTGCTGCAATCTGCACTCTACACACTACAATATGATAAATATTTATTTTCTTCTCAATAAATATTTTACGTGTTTCTTGTTTTTTTTCTTTGCTTTTCACTTTTGTATTGTTTTTCTAAACATATTGATGTTTGTCCATCAACAGAACGAAAAGATATAATGAGTTCACCTCTTTCTCTTTGCTCTAGTCTACGCACATTTCAATAAATAAAGCTTAAATCAATTTAATCAGTTAGAACGTTTCTTAATAGCCTGGATAATTTTTATTTACGGCAAACAGCTCTTTGACATATTTCTTAACTATACTGCAGCTAGATATGCACCGGTTTCGGTTTTCATCAGTTATCCGAAACTGATCATAACCGATAACCAAACATCTTTTTATTTGCACAGATTCTTGCGAATACATGAAAACAGCGTAAGAATAGCGCAATGTATATTCAAAAAAAAATTAAAAACTATTCCAGATGGAGCTTTTTTTCGTGGAAGATTTTTCTGTTTTTCTCATTTTCCCTACGACGTTAGAACCTTCTTGTCTATAAGACCTCGTGTATACGACCATTAGTCGTTCATGGCCACTTTTCATGCATTCGTCTGTCACTCGTCCAAAATCCGTGCTTTACCATTTTCTACTAGCTGTATGCCACATGATCAGGGAAAAATAATTGCTGTTGCACCAAAAAGGACTGTTATATAGCCAAGCGATGTTCCATTTTAAAGATTGTCGGTTATCCGAAGCTATTGCATACTTAACAGCAGCAATTTATAACTCTATTACTTGTCACCTCAATCTATCTATCTATCTCTGAGTATACATATCTGTACATATCTCCACATATTTCAGTCAAAAAATACGGTTATACATCAAAGCTCGAAACATTAGGTTCAATTCGGGTTCTTGCCGAACCAAATTTGATTTCTTAAACACGAATCAACCACTCAGTTAAAACGCTCTGGTCAAGCTAAGCTACAATATTGTACACAGTAACAAAGTCCCATGTAATAAAATTGTGTCCTTTTTTTCTGTTATAACGCTCAGAAACATATAATTACGTTAAAAAGCAGAACATATAATATCTTTTACCGAGTTATTAAGATATTTAATCGAATTCATTTTCAAAAGATAGAATTTTTGAGAGCATCAAAATGAATGTCGCACATAATCGACATTCGCTTATTTTTTGATCATTAATGTTGAGATCTTTTCACTTACGTGTAGCCCAGATGTGATTGAACAAGAACGCAGTACCGCTGGCCAACTTGTTAACCAACGTCGTCCAAGCATCGAGTGTGAACACCATATTATTTTTACGTTCGATTGAAAATAATAAATGGAAAGCCTAATCATGCGAACGTTTTATTTTATGTTTCAAAGTTCTAGTCACATAAATGATATGTTCTGATACAGTATCTTCACAGTTTTTCGATGTTTGTTTTATAGAGAATGCCATTAATGGCGACCTATTGTGATGCTGTGACTGAAAATGCTTTTATGACAGTAGAATTTGGGAACGGAGATGTATTGTAGAGAAGATAATCGGTAATTGAGCGAAGACGCTTATCGTTGTACTGCTCTTTTTCGATATCATGTACGTAGAATATTCCAGCTTTCCCACATATTAGCTGTTGTTTGTAAAGCATTTATGTTGTGTTCAGACAATGGAGTAATTGCTGCGACATCCGAGTAGCGCGATACTGCATCAGCATTTTGATTTGCTGTTCCCGGTCGATGTTGAATATCGAGATCAAGTGCGCTGAGCTTCATTACCCAACGAGCTAGTCTGCCGATGGGATCTTTCGAATTGTTGAGTCACTCTAGCGCTGTACAAACAGAACGTGTAAGAACTTTGGTGCCTTCTAAGTACGACGAAAATGTTTTGTGGCCCAAAAGAGTGGTACTGCTTCTCTTTCTGTTGCGCCGTATGTTTGTTTCGCTGATAATGTTCGACTCACGTACGCGATTACGAATTTCTTGTTGTTACTTGAGTCGATGCGTTCTATTAGTTTCCAGGGAAAGTTCTTGAATTTCCAAAATATTCAGAAGAAAGCCGCAATAATCGTGACGGGCATAATGACCATAGTCGGCTCTTCCGAAAACACGATCCCGACTCTTTCGAGAACAGAACCCGGACCCTTCTGCGAGCTTTCGCAAACAGATGTTACGGAAACTAACAACATAACGGGTATCACTGTACGCGGTCGTTAACAAAATTTTAAAATAGTCTCAGCTTGAAATACTGTCCTACAAGACAGGAACCTGCAAAGCTGAAGCAAATTTGCACTGCTTGACGCAAATATCTCATACGTGAAAGTACTTTCGGAACTCACGCTCACCCTGCCCCCGGGGGGGGGGGGGGGGGGGGGGGGGGGGGGGGGGGGGGGGGGGGGGGGGGGGGGGGGGGGGGGGGGGGGGGGGGGGGGGGGGGGNACGTGCAAGTACTTTCGGAACTCCCGCTCCCCCTGCCACCTCCCCCCCCCCCCACACACTGATATCCTGGAAAGTCATTTGATTTCCAGAAATTACTTTAGTTTGCTGGAAAGCCATTTGATTTCGGAAACTCATCCGATTTCCTGGAAAGTTGTATAGAGCATCATATGGTATACTTGAGCTAATACTGCTCCTAATCCGTAATCAGAGGCATCGAGTTCGAGGGAACTGTTGTTCATAGGATATTCATGATAGGTTTCTCGCCTATTTATTCTGATTTACCTTGTCTGCAAGCTTAGAGGAGAGATAGAAAAATAAGACATTCGACATTCGAAATAAGACAAGAGTACATAAAGAAATCATACGCAGTGCATCATCTTT